GCCTATAAACTATTATGACCACTCTATGGAAAGGGTGAGGCTCTCACAAACACGATTGTGTTCTCCGCTTTGCGCAAGTGTCATGGGACTCGTCTGAAGGTAACCCATACAAACTAATGGAAGTATGGAGGTAGTTTTGTGCCAACAAAAATAAGGGATTAAATATGTGTAAAAAATAAATATATATATATATACATACATACATACATACATACATACATACATACATACATACATACATACTGTGGGGAGAACAAGGATTTTATACTTAATTTGCATTTTATTGCATGTCATAAGTTTTTGATCACCTACCAACCAGTAAGAATTCCGGCTCTCACAGACCTGTTAGTTTTTCTTTAAGAAGCCCTCCTGTTCTCCACTCATTACCTGTATTAACTGCACCTGTTTGAACTTTATAAAAGACACCTGTCCACACACTCAATCAAACAGACTCCAACCTCTCCACAATGGCCAAGACCAGAGAGCTGTGTAAGGACATCAGGGATAAAATTGTAGACCTCCACAAGGCTGGGATGGGCTATAGAACAATAGGCAAGCAGCTTGGTGAGAAGGCAACAACTGTTGGCGCAATTATTAGAAAATGGAAGAAGTTCAAGATGACGGTCAATCACCCTCGGTCTGGGGCTCCATGCAAGATCTCACCTCGTGGGGCATCAATGATCATGAGGAAGGTGAGGGATCAGCCCAGAACTACACGGCAGGACCTGGTCAATGACCTGAAGAGAGGTGGGACCACAGTCTCAAAGAAAACCATTAGTAACACACTATGCCGTCATGGATTAAAATCCTGCAGCGCACACAAGGTCCCCCTCCTCAAGCCAGCGCATGTCCAGGCCTGTCTGAAGTTTGCCAAAGACCATCTGGATGATCCAGAGGAGGAATGGGAGAAGGTCATGTGGTCTGATGAGACAAAAATATAGCTTTTTGGTCTAAACTCCACTCGCCGTGTTTGGAGGAAGAAGAAGGATGAGGACAACCCCAAGAACACCATCCCAACCGTGAAGCATGGAGGTGGAAACATCATTCTTTGGGGTTGCTTTTCTGCAAAGGGGACAGGACGACTGCACCGTATTGAGGGGAGGATGGATGGGGCCATGTATCGCGAGATCTTGGCCAACAACCTCCTTCCCTCAGTAAGAGCATTGAAGATGGGTCGTGGCTGGGTCTTCCAGCATGACAACGACCCAAAACACACAGCCAGGGCAACTAAGGAGTGGCTCCGTAAGAAGCATCTCAAGGTCCTGGAGTGGCCTAGCCAGTCTCCAGACCTGAACCCAATAGAAAATCTTTGGAGGGAGCTGAAAGTCCGTATTGCCCAGCGACAGCCCCGAAAGGTCTGTATGGAGGAGTGGGCCAAAATCCCTGCTGCAGTGTGTGCAAACCTGGTCAAGACCTACAGAAAACGTATGATCTCTATAATTGCAAACAAAGGTTTCTGTACCAAATATTAAGTTCTGCTTTTCTGATGTATCAAATACTTATGTAATGCAATAAAATGCAAATTAATTACTTAAAAATCATACAATGTGATTTTCTGGATTTTTGTTTTAGATTCCGTCTCTCACAGTTGAAGTGTACCTATGATAAAAAATTACAGACCTCTACATGCTTTGTAAGTAGGAAAACCTGCAAAATCGGCAGTGTATCAAATACTTGTTCTCCCCACTGTGTGTGTGTGTGTATGTATATATATATATATATATATATATTTCCTGAGCTTTCTTATATCACCTAGATATAGGACAGACACTTCAAAACCTTATTCCAAGGGGTGTGAATACTGTCGTGATGAATGCCCGTCACTGCAATCAACAGCTGCAGTGTTGCTCATTGATTAACCCCGGTTACCCCGCATCATGGAATAGGCTATGTGAATGTTGATAAAGACAAAAGGTGGAAAAATTTGATTATTTGATTTGGATGGATGGTTGACATGACGAAGGTAGGCAGATATTTTCTTATCTAAAATGTGGGGTAAACTTTGCTTCAGTATACCCTTCTTGAGCTTGTTGTCATGTTCGTTGTGTAAAGGATCAGACTGCAGACCGTCGCTGGAGACTCTGGACTGCAGACCGTCGCTGGAGGCTCTGGACTGCATACCGTCGCAGGAGGATCCGGGCCATGGACCATCACTGGAGTCTTCGGGCCATGGATCATCACTGGAGTCTTCGGGCCATGGATCATCACAGGAGGATTCTGCTAAATGGCATATTATTATTATTATTCGGGCCATGGATCGTCACTGGAGGCTTCGTGCCATGGATCGTCACTGGAGGCTTCGTGCCATGGATCGTCACTGGAGGCTTCGGGCCATGGATCATCACTGGAGGCTTCGGGCCATGGATCATCACTGGAGGCTTCGGGCCATGGATCATCACAGGAGGATTCTGCTAAATGGCATATTATTATTATTATTCGGACCATGGATCGTCACTGGAGGCTTCGTGCCATGGATCGTCACTGGAGGCTTCGTGCCATGGATCGTCACTGGAGGCTTCGTGCCATGGATCGTCACTGGAGGCTTCGGGCCATGGATCATCACTGGAGGCTTCGGGCCATGGATCATCACTGGAGTGCGGGGCGCTGGCACAGGACGCACTGGGCTGTGGACACGCACCACTGATTTGGTGCGAGGAGCAGGTACGGGCCGTACCAGGCTGGGGACACGCACCACTGGTTTGGTGCGAGGAGCAGGTACGGGCCGTACCAGGCTGGGGACACGCACCACTGGTTTGGTGCGAGGAGCAGGCACGGGCCGTACCGGTCTGTGAAGGCGCACTGGCGGCACAGTGCGTAAAGCCGGCGCATAGCCTGGTGCCTGCACGGTCACACGCTCCTCAAAGCGAGTACGCGGAGTTGGCTCTGCTAAACCTGGCTCCGCCAGCCTCTGCTCTAAGGACCGAGCTCTCTGCTGCTGGAGGGTTAACTCCTCTCTCAGCTCCTCCTGTTGCCTGGCCTGCTCCTCTCTCCGTGCATCCACTGATTCCTTCTCCCTGTGGGCCTCCTGCAGCTCCTGCTCCCTCTTAACTAACAGCTCCCGTAAGGCGGTGGTCTCCTCTGAGTACTGAGCTGCAGGTCTTGGAGGGCATCTATCATAGCGGCTTCTTCTATCGCTATCTTCCTCTCCACCATCAGCCCTTCCAGGGCCTCCTGCTGCTCCGCCAACCACCCCGTGTGCCCCCCAACATTTTTTTTATTGGGGCTGCCTCTCGGGCTTCCTTCGTGATCGGGACCTTTTGAGTCGCCGTTTTTTCTCTCCTGCCTGGGCTTCTTCCTTCGCCCAGGGTCCCTTACCGGCCAATGTCTCCTCCCATGTCCAGAATGTTTTCCCCACCTGTGTCCATCATGTCTGCTCCTCCTGGCCAAGCTGCTTGGTCCGTTGGTGGTGAGATCTTCTGAAACGTTCGTTGTGTAAAGGATCGGACCAAGGTGCAGCGTGGTATGCGTACATAGTCGTTTATTTTAATAAACACCGACAAAATAACAAAATCCAACAGAACGTGAAGTTCAAGAGGCTAAACATCAAACAAGCAAAAACAGAAACAATATCCCACAACTAAGGTAGGCAACATGGCTGCCTAAGTATGATCCCCAATCAGAGACAACGACCGACAGCTGCCTCTGATTGGGAACCACACCCGGCCAACATAGAAATATATAAATTAGATTTCACACCCTGACCAACTCAACTAGAGATGTCAATGTCAGGGCGTGACACTTGTTATGTCCGTTTCGCTCACGGGACTCAAGCCTGGATGGGCTTGCGCCTAGTAAAAACAGCCTATTGCGCAATATATTCCAAAATTCAAACAAAATACACCAGCGACATCATTTAGGAGATTACAATTGTGAGCACAGTGTTTCTGATTAGATCGACAATTATCTTCTAATGTATTTGTGTGGCTACAATGGCATCTTTTAGAGCACAACATGAAATAGGCTACTACCGAGGTCTGATGATGCTTCTGACAATATAGTAAAAGGCGTGTTGTGATCTGGTGATGTGCTAATGTCTGATATAGGCTATTTTCAAAACTGCCTGTGTGTTGTGTTTATGAGGAGCACCCTCGTGTGTGTGTGTGTGTGTGTGTGTGTGTGTTGCGTGAGCTGGCTGCTGTTTCATCCTTGCTTGGCAGAGATGGAAAAGGTACAATTGTGAACCCGTGACCCAAATGTATCACATATCTCACAATCGATTGGACTTCCCGAATTTAGTATTTTCACTGTGACAGAACGTTTATATTTTTCGTAGATTTGCGTTATTCCACAAAGTTCCATCTTGCGCTGCAGTGAGCGGGTGGGGGGGGGGGGGGGGGCTGTATAACCCCACATGTTTTGCTTAGTCTCGCACACTGTTGAGTTGTGACCCCATGAGAAGAATGTGATCATTCTCACAATCATCCTAAAATCTCATAAGAAATTAGGTGGTGTTTTTTGTCTTACAGTAATGTTATACTATGCTATTATATTTAGTTTTGTTATGTAGAATATTAATCATTATGTGGTCCTGCAGACATTGATTCAGCTTTGATCTAACTTTATTAAACAAACACCATTCGCCAGAGTAGCCTGTTCTCTACGAGTAAAGCAGAGACTGTGCATAAAGTAGAGAATCCTGCACATGCGTGGAAGCTTCTGAACCTTTAGCCCCCAAGAAGAAAGGTCCAGAAAAGTTGGAACCACAGCCACTCCATATTAATGTTCTCTTTCCCCGTGTTTCCTCCAGGTGGGTTGTGGAGTGTGTTCACGCTGGGTGGAGCTGGCACTAAGCCAGGATTGGACCAGGAACAGAACCCTCTGCCACTGTCCAATCAGAGTCTGTTATTGCTCCTGGTGCTAGTCAATCTGACAGATGGACCCAACGACTGTCCCAACCCCTACAGACAGGCTGTCAAATGCTTCAAAAACACACAAGGTACAGAATATGCACTAGTACCAGTAAAAGATGACGGGGAACTTTCAATGAATGGGTACTAAACATGTGTGTGTTTTCCACAGACACGTCGTCCATCCCTACAGAGCAGCATCATATGTTCCAGATCAACTTCAACAGCCTTTACACAGCTCTGTGTGAGCAGCAGAGATCCGACCAGGCTACACTGCTACTCTACACACTGCTACATCAGAACACCAACATGAGGACATACATGCTGTCACGCACAGACATGGAGAACCTGGTGAGTTGGAGTCGCTAATACACATGCGCACACACACATTACTCTCTGCACACTGCTGCGTCAAAACATGAGGACATATACTCAGTATATTAGGTACACACATCTAGTACTGGGTATAACACCCCTTTGCCTCCAGAACATCCTGCATTTTTCAGGGCATAGAAACGTTGCTCAATTAGTATCAAGTATTACTCCACCACTACGACCCTGTACTGTTGACACCAGGCAGGATGGGGCCATGGACTCATGTTGCTTACGCCAAATCCGGACTCTGCCATTAGCATGACGCAACAGGAACCGGGATTGGTCGGACCAGGCAATGTTTTTGTGAACGGAGTGGTGTACCTAATAAACTAGCCACTGAGTGTACATGCTGTCACACACAAACATGGAGAACCTGGTAGTTAACACTAGAAAGGCCTCGAGGGACCCCCCTTCATGCCAATGACACGTCTTTTGTACATCAACATTCTAACAGTCTAATAAATACATTTCATATATCATATTGGAAAAATTATCCTTTGGTTCTGTTTATGAAGGTCTCAGGTAACATTAGAATGCAAAATAAAAATGATTTCAAAGACCATAATAACATTTTCATTCGTTTGTTACTGTAGGCTATATGTAGAAATGAAAAACCACGAAAATTGAAGAGTTAAATCCAATCGCAAAGAAATCCATTAATTTTGTTTTGGCAGGTCTTTAGAAACATTATGGAAATTAGAAAATGTATTTCAAAAGAACAGAATTTTAAGTTGTATTATGTTACTAGTCTTTGCTTAGTAGCCTGAGCAATGCTGCCGCGAGTGCTCACATGTTGAACGCATGGAACAGCGGTTATTCTTGGAACAAGTGATATTTTGAAATAGAGCTCACCTCTTGAATTCTGGGAGTTATTTGACAAAGGTAAGTGTTTTAGAAACGGCAGAATCTGCTGTTTCCGATGCTATATAGAAATCAAAACATATTTCCTGCATGTAACTCTATAGGAAGACTTGAAAGAGTTTTTTTTTGGCGCTCTATTTCCCTGCCTGTGTGTCAATTCCAAGCTGCGTCCAGCTCTTCATGTACAATTTGACGATTTATAATATTGTCACACATTAGACTATTGTCAATTTAATCTTGTCTCTAGGCTAACTATTATTGTATGTGTGAAACTAGTTTCGATATAGTTTAGGTCTAGTTTGGATGGGCCATCAGCTGCACAGGCTCACTGGCGATGAATGAAGGGCAAGGGGGAATAATGACATGTCCTCTTAAAACTGCTTATAACACACATTCTGTTTGATATTAAGATTCTAACAACGACACTGTTATATAGGAACGGTCAAGAGCATGACTTTAAAAATGGCAGAGTAATCAAAAATGTAAACTCGTTCTACATCCACATGACGCTCTCAGTTTTTGTGGTGTTAATACAATAAAAAAAAATCTCCATGAAGGATTTTTGTTAATTTTTTTCACAAACACGAAACCAACAACTCATTCCCCACACAGACATTGACCTGTGTGCTTCTGTGCTCCCATACATGTCTGCTACTGTTACTGTTAATGGTCTAGGATCCAGAGGAAGCCTTCTGAAGGTGCAAACGTAGCAGGATTTCCTTTAGCTGGTAATGGGCGGGTTTTGGCAACAAAATAAATGTTGGATAAATACAATTGTTGCCGGCCAAATTGACCGGGAGAAAAAACAATCCCATTGCAAAAGAATGCTTTTTATTCATTGATGGAAATATCATTTGACCGTCATGCTTATCGGTCTATAGGTTAATTTGCTACATTTAGTGGAATTAAATTAGGGCGTGTGTATTTTAGTTAGTCGTCATGTATCTTATTTACCACACGTGCACAGCATACATACTATTGTATACTATACTAGCACACTATTTTGAGCGGCATATCACTTGTCAAACAGCACTCCTCAGCTCGTTGCTGCTGAATTGAAACATGCTTTTTTAAGCCCAATTATTGCGGAACAATTCTAAGTGCAATCGCATGTTAAAAACTGTTTATGGCCACGATTAAAAAGAGCTACTGTTTTTATTTCTCAACTGGTAATTGAAACACTCCTCCCATTCACCATTCAAGTGTATCGGTAACAGTAGGCAGGCTATCAGCACGTCACCCATCACTTTGCAATGTGAGTTGGAGGCAGTATGCATTCTGAAAACATTTACTTAATTGTTTGAAACCTGAACGTGTTACTTCATATTACAGTTTTTTACAATCACTTTGGCACTAATTTCAGAACCTTGACGTCATTTTTCAAAACTCTAGACACAAAACTCACAACCAATGATCAAAATGCACTTTTTTCAATTGCTTGGATACAATACACATAAAACTAAGATCATTTGTTCATTTAACAAAAATCACCTGTTCAATATGACACAACTTAACATCAAAGTACTACTATTTCAAAAGGCAATTCACACATTACATTTCAGATGAGTGTCTATTCATTTAATTACAATTATCCAACTATCAACTGATACAACTGCTCAAAACGATAAGTAATTGTTGCATTACTCTTAATGCATATTTGTATGGAAACAGACAAACAATATTCCATGTTTAGATCATGAAAGTTTCAAGATAACGAGATTCATTGTCACCAATTAGCGTGGAGCATGAACCAATTAGACTACATTATCTATGGATGTAATATTTCATCATCATTCTTTATCAGACACCGTTTCTATGGTCCCATGTACCACCTTTTCAGACTATTTACAGTATTGACAGTGCTGCACTGTATGGATGAAGGCCCTTGTAATTGCTTGTCCAATTCTGCCAACTCGTTACTGATGATTGAGTTCACATTGTGGAACGAGTATATAAAGAATTGATTGGGATCCACTTGCAACAACATAGCGATACGTACTGTAACATGGAGCCGGCAGGTGATCCAGGTCACAATATAGGTCAAGCAGTGGTGGGAGGAAGACGAGGAAGACATGTTGGTCAGAGGAATGGCAGGGGACAAGCACCCCTTCTGAGAGGTTGTCGTGGGCCTTGTTTGAGAGGTGTGGGGGAACGTGGTAGAGGACAAGACCACGGACCAAGACAGTGGCAGCAACAGCAAAGAGTCCAATGAAATCCGAGCAATAGTTGTAGACCATGTCATAAATCATGGTATGACAATGACTGAGGCGGCTACAATGATACAACCAAACCTCAGAAGGTCAACCGTGGCCTCAATAATCTGACAAAATTCTGACTGACCAATTAAATGATATTCGCCTTACAGAAATTCGCCAGCATATCTTGGACAATGAAGACATGTTAACAATGTGGAATCCATAAGTTTGCCGACTATTGCACGCATGCTGAAAAGGCACCAGGTGTCTTTAAAACAACTATACTGTGTGCCTTTTGAAAGAAATGCAGACAGAGTGAAGCAAATGAGGACTGAGTATGTTCAGGTATGTTCAGTTTCAAGATGGCTGTTGTAATAAAATTCCCTAATAATTCTACATTGTACAGTAATCGGTAAATCTCTTTCCAAAATGTATTTTTAGAGGGTGATGGAGCTGGATGCTGATGACAACCATCACAAATTCATATATTTGGATGAGGCAGGCTTTAACCTGGCCAAGACAAGGAGGAGAGGTCGGAATTTCATTGGCCAGCGGGCAACCATCCAAGTACCTGGACAACGTGGGGCCATCATTACCATGTGTGCGGCTATATCAGAAGATGGTGTGGTGGGACGCAGACCTCGTATTGGATCATATAATGCAGCTCTCCTTGTAACCTTCCTTGATGAGCTCGATCAGGTCTGTAGAGCTGATTGCGTGACCTATGTCATTGTGTGGGATAATGTCAGGTTCCACCAAGCTCATATGGTGCAAGCATGGTTTCAGGCCCATGCACAATTTACCACCCTGTATTTACCCCCATACTCTCCTTTCCTTAACCCGATTGAGGAATTTTTCTCCACATGGAGATGGAAGGTTTATGATAGGGCGCCCTCATGAACAAGTCACTCTTCTCCAGGCCATGGATGACGCATGCAATGACATCACGGCAGACCAGTGTCAGGCCTGGATTCGCCATGCCCAAAGGTTTTTTCCAAGATGTTTGGCTAATGAAAACATCCATTGTGATGTAGATGAGAACCAGTGGCCAAATCCACAAGATCGAGTTGATGAAAATGTAGAAGTACAGTAATCACTCCTATGTTTTGCTTTTTACAGTACAAGCAAGCAAGTTGAGGAACACCTCATTTGATGTTTTACAGTACTGTATTGTTTTTCATCAATATATTTCAGATTTTGTTCAATGATTCCACTGTGTCTGTAGTATTCTCTCTACTACTGCAGTACTTTTACAGGGATGTATTTACATGTAGTACCATAATGAAACATGTATCACCTATTTTGTACTACAATATTTAATGATTGTACGAACAATGACACAGTGAAACTATCGGTTGCTTGTGTGTGGGTGATCTAAATTAAAGTTTCATTGGTATTTCACAATAAATTTGTTTTTTGAACCAATGATTATGCAAGTGCAAGATTTCTTTAAAGATATGAATGCACAATGCAATGTTTTGAACATTGGACAGCCTGTGTTACAAGTGATGACCGTTTTGAGTTTTGAAAAATGACGTCAAGGTTCTGAAATTAGTGCCAAAGTGATTGTAAAAAACTGTATGAGCCATGTCTTACCTTGCTTCAAAGTAGCCTAGGCAGAAAGACTTATAAAGTATTCCTCATATTCCATTGAAACCAGCATTTCTCTCCTGTTCTATTGGTTTTCATATCAACTTTATTTTGTTATCCAGAATCCAAAGGCACAGTCTTAGTCATATTATCAATCAATCAAATTTTATTTATAAAGCCCTTTTTACATCAGCAGATGTCACAAAGTGCTATTCAGAAACCCAGCCTAAAACCCCAAACAGCAAGCAATGCAGATGTAGAAGCATGGTGGCTAGGAAAAACTCCCTAGAAAGGCAGAAACCTAGGAAGAAACTTAGAGAGGAACCAGGCTCTGAGGGGTGGCCAGTCCCCTTCTGATTTTTCTCCAAGATGTTCAAACGTTCATAGATGACCAGCAGGGTCAAATAATAATCACAGTGGTTGTAGAGGTTGCAACAGGTCAGTACATCAGGAGTAAATGTCACTTGGCTTTTTAGAGGTTGAAATAGCAGGTGCGGTAGAGCGAGAGAGAGTTGAAAACAGCAGGTCTGGGACAAGGTAGCACGTCCGGTGAACAGGTCAGGGTTCCATAGCCGCAGGCAGAAGAGTGGAAACTGGAGCAGCAGCACGACCAGGTGGACTGGGGACAGCAGGGAGTCATCAGGCCAGGTAGTCCTGAGGCTTGGTCCTAGGGCTCAGGTCCTCCGGGATGGGAGAGTGAGATAATTAGAGGGAGCATTCACACAGGACACCGGATAAGACAGGATAATAACACCAGATATAACAGACTGACCCTAGCCCCCCGGCACATAGACCATTGCAGCATAGATACTGGAGGCTGGGGGGGTGTCTGGAGACACTGTGGCCCCGTCCGACGATACCCCCGGTCAGGGCCAACCAGGCAGGATATAACCCCACCCACTTTGCCCAAGGACAGCCCCCACACCACCAGAGGGATATCAACAGACCACCAACCTACTACCCTGAGACAAGGCTGAGTATAGCCCACGAAGATCTCCTCAACTGCACGAGCCGGAGGGGGCGACAAACCGGACAGGAAGATCACATCAGTGACTCAACCCACTCAAATGATGCAGGGTCGGCATGGAAAGCACCAGTAAGCCAGTGACTCAGCCCCCGTAATAGGGTCAGAGGCAGAGAATCCCAATGGAGAAACAGGAACCGGCCAGGCAGAGACAGCAAGGGCGGTTTGTCGCTCCAGTGCCTTTCCGTTCACCTTGGCACCCCTGGGCCAGACTACACTCAATCATAGGACCTACAGAAGAGATGAGTCTTCAGTAAAGACTTAAAGGTTGAGACAGAGTCTGCGTCTCTCACATGGAAAGGCAGACCATTCCATAAAAATGGAGCTCTATAGGAGAAACCCCTGCCGCCAGCTGTTTGCTTAGTAATTCTAGGGACAATAAGGAGCCCTGCTACTTGTGACCGTAGCATACGTGTAGGTATGTACGGCAGGACCAAATCGGAGAGATGGGTAGGAGCAAGCCCATGTAATGCTTTGTAGGTTAGTAGTAAAACCTTAATCAGCCTTAGCCTTAACAGGAAGCCAGTGTAGAGAGGCTAGCACTGGTGTAATATGATCACATATTTAGGTTCTAGTCAAGATTCTAGCAGCCGTGTTTAGCACTAACTGAAGTTTATTTAGAGCTTTATCCGGGTAGCTGGATAGTAGAGCATTGCAGTAGTCTAATCTAGAAGTGACAAAAGCATGGATGAGCTTTTCTGCATCATTTTTGGACAAAGAGTTTTTGATTTCTGCAATGTTACGAAGATGGAGAAAAGCTGTCCTTGAAATATTCTTGATATGTTCGTCAAAAGAGAGATCCGGGTCCAGAGTAACGCCAAGGTCCTTCACAGTTTTTTTGAGACTGTACAACCATCAAGATTAATTGTCAGATCCAACAGAAGATCTCTTTGTTTCTTGGGACCTAGAACTAGCATCTCTGTTTTGTCCTAGTTTAAAAGTAAAAAAATTGCCGCCATCCACTTCCTTATGTCTGAAACACATACTTCCAGGGAAGGCAATTTTGGGGCTTCACCATGTTTCATCGAAATGTAGAGCTGTGTGTCGTCCGTATAGCAATGAAAGTTAACATTGTGTTTCCGAATGACATCACCAAGAGGTAAAATATATAGTGAAAACAATAGTGGTCCTAAAACGGAACCTTGAGGAACACCGAAAACATACAATTGATTTGTCAGAGTACAAATCATCCACAGAGACTAACTAATATCTTTCCGACAGATAAGATCTAAACCAGGAAAGAACTTGTCCGGGTAGACCAATTAAGGTTTCCAATCTCTCCAAAAGAATGTGGTGATCGATGGTGTCAAAAGCAGCACTAAGGTCTAGGAGCACGAGGACAGATGCAGAGCTTTGGTCTGATGCCATTAAAAGGTAATTTACCACCTTCACGAGTGCGGTTTCAGTGCTATGATGGGGTCTAAAACCAGACTGAAGCGTTTCGTATACATTTTTTTATTCTTCAGGAAAGCAGTGAGTTGCTGCACAACAGCTTTTTCTAAAAAAAAATTAGAGGAATGGGAGATTCGATATAGGCCGAATTTTTTAAAATATTTTTTTTATTATATTTTTTTCATTTTCTGGGTCAAGGTTTGGCTTTTTCAAGAGAGGCTTTATTACTGCCACATTTAGTGAGTTTGGTACACATCCAGTGGATAGGGAGCCATTTATTATGTTCAACATAGGAGGGCCAAGCACAGGAAGTAGCTCTTTCAGTAGGTTAGTTGGAATAGGGTCCTGTATGCAGCTTGAAGGTTTAGAGGCCATGACTATTTTCATGAACGTGTCAAGAGATATAGGATTAAAAAACTTGAGTGTCTCCATTGATCCTCAGTCCTGGCAGTTTTGTGCAGACTCAGGACAGCTGAGCTTTGGAGAAATACACATTTTCAAAGAGAAGTCCGTAATTTGCTTTCTAATGATCATGATCTTTTCGTCAAAAAAGTTCATGAATTCATCACTGCTGAAGTGAAAGGCATCCTCTCTTGGGGAATGCTGCTTTTTAGTTAGCTTTGTGACAGTATCAAACATACATTTTGGATTGTTCTTATTCTCCTCAATTAGGTTGGAAAAATAGGATGATCGAGCAGCAGTGAGGGCTCTTCGATATTGCACTGTACTTTCTTTCCAAGCTAGTTGGAAGACTTATAGTTTGGTGGAGCGCCATTTCCGTTCCAATTTTCTGGAGGCTTGCTTCAGGGCTCGGGTATTTTCTGTATACCAGGGAGCTAGTTTCTTGTGACAAATGTTTTTTGGTTTTAGGTGTGCGACTGCATCTAGGGTATTACGCAAGGTTCAATTTAGATCCTCAGGTCATTAACTGATTTTTGTACTCCGACGTCCTTGAGTCGGTGGAGGGAGTCTGGAAGGGCCTCTAGGAATCTTTGGGTTGTCCGAGAATTTATAGCACAGCTTTTGATGGTCCTTGGTTGGTCTGAGCAGATTATTTGTTGCGATTGCAAACGTAATAAGATGGTGGTCCGATAGTCCAGGGTTATGAGGAAAAACATTTAGATCCACAATATTTATTCCACGGGACAAAACTAGATCCTGGGTATGACTGTGGCAATGAGTAGGTTTGGAGACATGTTGGACAAAACCCACTGAGTCGATGATGGCTCCGAAAGCCTTTTGGAGTGGGTCTGTGGACTTTTCCATGTGAATATTAAAGTCACCACAAATTAGAATATCTGCCATGACAGCAAGGTCCGATAGGAATTCAAAGAACTCAGTGAGGAACTCTGTATACGGCACAGGAGGCCTGTAAACAGTAGCTATAAAAAGTGATTGAGTAGGCTGCATAGATTTCATGACTAGAAGCTCAAAAGTCCGTCATTTTTGGGGGGTAAATTGACATTTGCTATAGTAAATGTTAGCCACACCTCCGCCTTTGCGGGCTGTGCGGGGGATATGTTCACTAGTGTAACCAGGAGGAGAGGCCTCATTTAACACAGTAAATTCATCAGGTTTAAGCCATGTTTCAGTCAGGCCAATCACATCAAGATTATGATCAGTGATTAGTTCATTGACCATAACTGCCTTGGAAGTGAGGGATCTAACTTTAAGTAGCCCTATTTGGGATGTGAGATATCACAATCTCTTTCAATAATGACAGGAATGGAGGAGGTCTTTTTTCCAGTGAGATTGCTAAGGCAAACACCGCCATGTTTAGTTTTGCTCAACCTAGATCGAGGCACAGACACGGTCTCACTGGGGATAGCTGAGCTGACTACACTGACTGTGCTAGTGGCAGACTCCACTAAGCTGGCATGCTGGCTAAAAGCCTGCTGCCTGGCCTGCACCCTATCTCATTGTGGAGCTAGAGGAGTTAGAGCCCTGTCTATGTTGGTAGATAAGATGAGAGCACCCCTCCAGCTAGGATGGAGTCTGTCACTCCTCAGCAGGCCAGGCTTGGTCCTGTTTGTGGGTGAGTCCCAGAAAGAGGGCCAATTATCTACAAACTGCTGTAGAGCTCATCAATTACTCGATGCCAACACATCTTTCTAGCTAATTTACATGCTGAAGCTATGTTGCTATGACTGTTTCATCCTAACATCATGGGTGTTATCCCTATACTCTCTACACTCGCCAGTTTTAGCTTTAGCCAGCACCATCTTCAGATTAGCCTTTACGACGGTAGCCCTGCCCCCTGGTAAACAAGATGATTATTTTTAAGTCTAATATTGCGGGTAATGGAGTCGCCATTGACTAGGGTTTTCAATTTGTCAGAGCTAATGGTGGGAGGCTTCGGTGGCTCAGACCCCGTAACGGGTGGAGGAGAGACCTGAGAAGGCTCGGCCTCTGACTCCGACTCGTTGCTTAATGGGGAGAACCGGTTGAAAGTTTCTGTCGGCTGAATGAGCGAGACCAGTTGAGCATGCCGACAGCATTTCTTTCCAGAAGCCTTGAGAAAATCGTCCGGCTGCGGGGACTGTGCGAGGGGATTTATACTACTATCTGTACTTACTGGTGGCGCAGACACTGTTTCATCCTTTCCTAACCATTGCGTCTTAAGCTTCGCTTGCAGCACGGCTATCCTCACCATAAGGCAATAGTTATCCTGTATATTATGAGTACAGCGACTGCAATTAGATGGCATAGTGTTAATGTTACTACTTAGCTTCGGCTGGTAGAGGTCCTGTAGAACCATGTCCAGATAAAGCGTCTGGGGTGAAAAAGTTGAATGAAAAAAGTAGAGCGAGTTAAAAATAACTAAGACGTTGGTATAAGTTCAGGAGAAAAAACAAACAAAATATAATTATTGTAAAATTGACTACACGGCAGAACCTGGTCAATGACCTGAAGAGAGCTGGGACCACAGTCTCAAAGAAAACCATTAGTAACACACTACGCCGTCATGGATTAAAATCCTGCAGCGCACGCAAGGTCCCCCTGCTCAAGCCAGCCCATGTCCAGGCCCGTCTGAAGTTTGCCAATGACCATCTGGATGATCCAGAGGAGGAATGGGAGAAGGTCATGTGGTCTGATGAGACAAAAATAGAGCTTTTTGGTCTAAACTCCACTCGCCGTGTTTGGAGGAAGAAGAAGGATGAGTACAACCCCAAGAACACCATCCCAACCGTGAAGCATGGATGTGGAAACATCATTCTTTGGGGATGCTTTTCTGCAAAGGGGACAGGACGACTGCACCGTATTGAGGGGAGGATGGATGGGGCCATGTATCGCGAGATCTTGGACAACAACCTCCTTCCCTCAGTAAGAGCATTGAAGATGGGTCGTGGCTGGGTCTTCCAGCATGACAATGACCCAAAACACACAGCCAGGGCAACTAAGGAGTGGCTCCGTAAGAAGCATCTCAAGGTCCTGGAGTGGCCTAGCCAGTCTCCAGACCTGAACCCAATAGAAAATCTTTGGAGGGAGCTGAAAGTCCGTATTGCCCAGCGACAGCCCCGAAACCTGAAGGATCTGGAGAAGGTCTGTATGGTAGTAGTGGGCCAAAATCCCTGCTGCAGTGTGTGCAAACCTGGTCAAGACCTACAGGAAACGTATGATCTCTGTAATTGCAAACAAAGGTTTCTGTACCAAATATTAAGTTCTGCTTTTCTGATGTATCAAATACTTATGTCATGCAATAAAATGCAAATTAATTACTTTAAAATCATACAATGTGACTTTCTGGATTTTTGTTTTCGATTCCGTCTCTCACAGTTGAAGTGTACCTATGATAAAAATTACAGACCTCTACATGCTTTGTAAGTAGGGAAACCTGCAAAATCAGCAGTGTATCAAATACTTGTTCTCCCCACTGTATATATATGTATATATATATATATATATATATATATGTGTATGTATGTGTGTGTATATATATATATATATATATATATGTATGTGTATATGTGTGTATATATATATAAAAACATGGGGGATTGGAAGTGATGCAGACAATTACATTGATGGAAGTTACAATCTATCTGCAATATTAAGCTGATCTACCCCCAGAAAAAAAGACGTTGGTATAAAAAAGTAAAAACCGTCAAGTTTGGCATATAGCCAATCAGCAACAAACAGCGTAGCACGGAGACAAGTGACCTGCTCAAAACGGAAGTTTAGCAATCCATTTTAGTTGTTGCATCTTTAGAAGTTTCTAATGGAGAATATTCATCTCAGAATTTTCGCTCACATCAGGTGCGTTGTTTTGAATGGTGTTTTCCTGCAAATTGCATTTTGGCAAATGTCGGAAAATGACATTTTTATTGGCTGCTTCATTACAGGAGTTGCATGTTCTGTTAAGATTAATTACCATAATATAAATGTGATTTATTTCATTCTGAGCACCGTGGGTGGACGCCCTAATGGGTTACGCACCCAAAACATATGGGTCCGGTACATTTCTGAAATGGACGGTAAATTTAAAATCTTCCTGGTCATGTTGTCCGGCACCACATTTTCCTAACGGAAACTCTGAAATGTACTCTGGGTAATCTGAGTCATCCTCTTTGTTCCCTGCTGACATAGTGGGGCGCAGTAGACAGCTGGTCCTCTGGGGTGCGCTGTGACGTCACCTCTAAGCAGGTTTTAAGTGTATTAGGGAGTTAGGGAGCGCCACAGACCATTGCTCTGCAGGACCCACCTGTGACAGAGGATCACTCCCACACACACAGTGGAACCATACTTGATCAAACACACACACATCGCTTCCCAAAGCACCCCACTGTGGAACAATGCTGGAGGCCTAAACACACACACACACACACACACACACACTTTCTCTCAGTGCTGTCTGGGATGCAGTGTGTTGGGATGTCGGATGCGTGTCAGAACTTGCTCAGTGCACTCTGCCTGCTTATTCTGCAACACTGTCGGTCTGCACAGCAGGAATGCAGGATTTCACAACAGAAGTTGACACAATGGCAGTTGAACCATGGCAGTTAAACCATCAATACGGAAACACCATGCAGCCACATACCCTGGAGAAACACCATGCAGCCACATACCCTGGAGAAACACCATGCAGCCACATACCCTGGAGAAACACCATGCAGACACATACCCTGGAGAAACACCATGCAGACACATACCCTGGAGAAACACCATGCAGACACATACCCTGGAGAAACACCATGCAGCCACATACCCTGGAGAAACACCATGCAGCCACATACCCTGGAGAAACACTATGCAGACACATACCCTGGAGAAACACCATGCAGACACATACCCTGGAGAAACACCATGCAGACACATACCCTGGAGAAACACTATGCAGACACATACCCTGGAGAAACACCATGCAGACACATACCCTGGAGAAACACCATGCAGACACATACCCTGGAGAAACACCATGCAGCCACATACCCTGGAGAAACACCATGCAGACACATACCCTGGAGAAACACTATGCAGACACATACCCTGGAGAAACACCATGCAGACACATACCCTGGAGAAACACCATGCAGACACACACACAGTAGGCCAGGACATCCTGGAAAACAGTGTAATGTGTTACTGACTGGACTATCCTGGCTAAATATATAAAATAAAATACGAATATGTTCGTTCTCTAATTACTTTACCCCTTCCCCTCCTCCTTAGGTGATGCCCATCCTCGAGATCCTGTATCATGTGGAAGACAGGAACTCTCATCACGTCTACATGGCCCTCATCATCCTCCTCATCCTCACTGAGGATGATACCTTCAACAGATCCATACATGAAGTGGTGAGTAGTATCCCGGATTGATTAAGCGCTGAAAATATACTCCAGTGTCACACACAAATGATGCACATCTGTAATTGGTGTGACAGAAGAGACACAGCCCTGCAAACAACATTTATTCCCTTTCAGCACATTCTGATTATAGACGTCTGAGACATTTCTCTGTATGAAGTACGATTTCTCAAAAGTCAGGACATGTGCCATTTCAGATAAGAACACTACATTCTATGATAGGCACTGTCTATAATTTAGAAATGCTCCCCGAGTCCCCATCTCCCTCTGTCTATTTCAGTCTTCATTATTTCTTTCTTCTGAGCTTGTCAATGAATTCACCGTGTATTTGAACAGAGAGCCTTTAAACCACTTAGGATACGATGCTTGACGCCATTCCACTCTTCCATTACATTCCAGTTGTGTGAATCATTTTTGACATTTTAAATCCGTTCCCCTATCTCTATATTTCTCCGTACATGCGGAGCCTATCGAGTTTCAGTCTCCTGGCTGTGGGCTGCATATGAATGTGTCTCTGTCTCTGGCACTATATAGGGAATATTGTGTTATTTGGGACGTACCCCCTCTCTCTCAGCAGGAAATCCTAAAGCCTAGGCTGTGGCTGCCAGCAGACCTCTCTCTGAGTCTCGATATGTTTTGGATGAACATCCATTTGACATTGGTCTCTTTGCTGTTGACATGTAATTTCCAGCAGCACTAGGTTCAATGTAAACCAACCACGGTCAGGCCAGCTCTCAATATTCAGACGGGCGCTTTTCATCATGGAAATATCTATGCGGAAGTGCCTTAGTGCCGTTGTGGTGTTTTGGGGCTGTGTGTTGAGCCTGGGATTAGACTGCCATGTTGGTCCATGTTTTGTCCATCAGTTGCTGTTGGTTGTCACCCAGTGCCTAAGGTGCTGTGTCACTGTGACTCCATTTAGTGTCTGCAGAGCCAGGTAGATTGACTCGGATCATGTATTATACACATCACAGCTAGGCTTCTACAACCTAATAATAAATAATAATATGCCATTTAGCAGACGCTTTTATCCAAAGCGACTTACAGTCATGCGTGCATACATTTTTGTGTATGGGTGGTCCCGGGGATCGAACCCACTACCTTGGCGTTTCAAGCGCCGTGCTCTACCAGCTGAGCTACAGAGGACCACAACCTCTGTTGTATTTGATAGTGCAGACCTGAGCCATTGATAGAGACTCTAAAAATGACTGGTGCAGCCTAGTCAATTTCACGAATTATCTCTTTGAAGTCTAAATCTGTGAAAGTCTTTAAATTAGGGCGTTATTCTATTTCTGCATGTTAGTGACTAAGAAGGCGCAATCTCAAATTCATTATTTAATGTGTATTTGTGTGTGTGTGGATTGCTTTTTCAGAATCCATATCCTTCCCCAACATTAAGTAATGCCAAACCTTATGACATCCTGTCCTCCCAACCGTTACCAAGCCTTACTTTACTTCTGACATGAAGGGCTGTTACCGTGGGTGCTAAGCACCCTGGAAACACAAGGTTGACAACAAGATGTGATAGGCCTACTGTAGGAATGGGAAAAGAATCGAGCCGTCAAGTTGCATGAAACACTTACAGTAAATGTCTTGTTTAGGAGAGAGAGGGAAAGAAGGTATTTGTGTTTTACAGAGAAAAAAGTTATTTGTGATGAAAACGATGATAGCTGGCACTGCTGGCGGTGTTACAACTTTTCCTCTTAATTTGTACAGTACCAGTGTTTCCCCTGTATTCATTTAGAAGTATTTTATTTGAGAACTAGAAATCACCTAAATAAAAACTAAAACAATGAATTTAGGAGTACTTTTGGCATGTCTGGCTTACCGACCGGGCACGCAGGGCACATGCCCAGGGTCCCCGATTGAGGTCCCCATTGATTTTGTTATGTTTGCGCGTAAGAACACAGAATTAACATTTTCTCTCCGCTCCATGGAAAACATTTCTAGAATTGCAGGAAAGTAGTCCCTTTTTGATCCAGTTAAAAACCTTGCTTATTGCTAATAGCACACCTGCCTGATAATATGGAATGGTCCCATATATATATATATATAGGCTATGATAAAAAGTTGGCCCTAAAATATTTTTGGGGCAATATGTTATTGGGCTCATTTCTTGGGAGGATTATAGATAGATCGGAATCATTTGATTTTCATTCATTTTGGAGTATAATGTACTTTTAAAAAGTAACCCGAAATGACCTTCTCACAGTCCTACAAAAAAATATCCCGGGGGCATGCTGCTGTGGACCCTGCCCCCCCTCCACGACCTTTGCCTCCACTGCTAAAAAATATTAAATGCTGAGTAGTTACTCACGCTCCTTCTTTCTCTCTCTATCTAAATCCCTCCCTCATTTGTTGAAGAGATAGAAAAGAAAGAATCTAGAGGAGAAGAGATAACTAAAGAAATCTGTTTAACTATAAAACCTCCCTCTTTTTCCCTCTCCCTCCCTCCCTCCCTCTTCTTTCTCCCTCCCTTCCTCCCTCCCTCTCTCCCTCTCTTTCTCCCTCCCTCCCTCTCTTTCTCCCTCTCTCTCGCTTGAACTCCCTCTCTCCCAGGTATTAAAAAACATAACGTGGTATTCAGAGCGTTCATTAACAGAAATCTCCCTGGGGAGTCTGCTCATCCTGGTGGTCATACGCACCATCCAGTTCAACATGACACGGACCAGGGTGAGTACACACACCCAAACCCACATACACTTTGTTTACCCTCTCCTAGCTTTTTTTTCACACAAGATGGTCTCAATGGAATTCCAGTTAGGTCATTACACGTCTCTCATTTCCTCTCTTCCAGGATAAGTACCTGCACACCAACTGCCTGGCTGCCCTGGCCAATATGTCTGCCCAGTTCCGCTGCCTACACCAGTATTCAGCCCAGCGCATCATCAGGTGAGGCTACAGCTACATCCTCCGTATAACTATTGCTGACTGTCAACACAGACACGGTATGGCCAATGCATGTTAATGGGTATAGATACGATCTCAACTCAAACCTAAAGCCTACTGGTAGACTGCAAATTGTAGAGGTTTAGCAGGTCTGTGCAGCACCGTCTGGTGTAGATATTCCAGGGTTGTGTTTTGTGCTGAGAGTGGGAAAGACTCCACCCATCTTCTTAGCTTCTGATGTTGCAGGGTTCCCTCACCAAGGCAGTAGAGGAGGAGAAAATCAAAGGTTGGATTGAACGTCCTCATCAGAGAGGATTTAAATTAGTCGTTTGATTAACGGTAGCTAACGCACTTTTGTACGTCGCGCTGTTCCGTACATTTGACCTTATTTTAGCGCCCCAAAAACGTAGTACTTCCAGGTCAACTGTAATATGAATACCATTGTAAAGCAGAATTTCTCCCCTTTTCAGCAAAGTCAATGACGAGACCTTCATGCTGCCCGTCTCTGCATGATTGAAAAAAGCAATGGAGCTCCGCCGGGTCTTTAAAAAAAATTGCGGGTGGGGAAGCGAAAGCTACTGCGTCATAGTGAAATGGGGAGAAATGTCGTGTGGGGAACCGGCTTTTTTCACCCGATTTGTCCAACTTATCACCTCTAAAATGTAAATAGTTTAAATATAAAGAGTTTATATAATGTCTCATTTACATACCTATTTGAAGGTTTGTGTAGAATTTGAATTGGGTTTTTAGGGCGGCACTAAATTTATCTTCACAATTAAACTGTGGGTGTCACAGTTTTTGAGAGTCATGATGGCTCGCAGTGATTACGCGGAAATTTAACAATTGATTGAATTAACTATTAATGAACTCACAAGTAATTAACTTTACACTCACTATTACACTCACCATTGATCATTTCTTGTTTTTAATCTGCGAGAGAAGCGCTACACCTGGTGGAAAGAGGCTGTACGGCACAGAATGAGTTGAATAATGCGTGCCGTACGTTACGTTGTGACATGTCACACTTTAACATACAGCGTCAGCTCGGTCAGTTTTTTCAACTTTTCTCCAATACTATTGGTCCATTATCATGTCAATCAACGCTGGATCGAAACTTAGTTCCCATTAGTTTTCATTGCAGCATCGTTTGAGTGCCGTGGTTGCCCACATATGTACGGAACGGAGTTAGCTACCGTTACGCGTTTGTTTCTTCTTTGACTCATGGCCTACAGTACCTTCTGTACTGAAGTCTGCCACTGTTCAGTCACAAACATTACCATACAAAATGTTCTTCATGTTCTAAGGTCCACCACAGATTACCAACCCTTGCCACATCACCACACCAGCATGCAAACATTAGCATGGATTGAATCACAACACATCATTTTAACATTTCCATAACCACTGTGTAAAATGACTAAGGTAGTCAATCGTTATATTGGCCGGTTATCACATTCCGATCCATTTCTTGCAGATTGACGCACTGCTTCCAGATTGAAAACAGTGTTTTTAGATTGGTGGATTGGAAGTACAGCTGGGTTAAGTCATACACATTTCCCTTTGTGCCAGTGACCATGTGGGTTTGGTGCATTACGGAATTAAAGGAAAAGGTCAGCATTTAAGGGTAATAATTGTGCGTAATTATTCTGTTTTGTAAATTATCCTGTAGGGTGGAGTGGTACTATTTTATATGGTGATTATTTGATGTATGATTTGAGTTGGTGATTTCATTTGGCTTCTCTGAATGCCTTGACGACTTGATACTCTAATAAGCACACAAACAAGACAAACACGTGTATAAGCAAACACACTCACTCACACGAACACTTACTCCACCCTGATTTTTATTTTAACCTTTCATTTAACTAGGCAAGTCAGTTAAGAACAAATTCTTATTTACAATGACGGCCTTCCCCTGGCCGAACCCTAACCCGGATGACGCTGGGCCAATTATGCGCCGCCCTATGGGACTCCCAATCACGGTTGTGATACAGCCTGGAATCTAACCAGGGTCTGTAGTGACACCCCTAGCACTGAGATGATGTGCCTTAGACCGCTGCGCCACTTGGGAGCCCCTGATGATGGAATAAAGTTGGTGGTCATAATAAGACACATAGTTAGTGGGAAAGTGCTTGGAATCACATGCTTTGTGTTTATTTAGACTTTCTTTTACTATCTTTCTATTTTTTTAAATTATGAGTTATTTCACTGGATATACAGATCAAAATTATGTCAACGTCCTCCTCAACTGCATCCTTTGTAATGCTGTAGCCTAGGTCTATTGCTCATCGCGTGGCTCATCACATATTAGACCACTAGGCTTGCTGTCATAGATCTGTGGTTGGCTCTGAATAAAGACATCATCACGTCTTGTGGTTGTGTATTCTGGCTTTGAAGCAGTCAGTCAAGGAAGGTAATGGTAATGACTCCAAGCTGTTGAGAGGGAGGAGGATTCTCCTGACTCTGTGGTTAGAAGTTAACTATATGAATGAATGTGAAGGGCTTGCCCAGTGACTCACCCAGATAATTGTTACGGATGAGCCCTGGTTAGGAACACACTCCGCTGGTCATACATACTAACACACACACACACACACGTACTCCCTTTCAATGTTCACCCAGAACGACCACACAAGTGCATGGCCTCTCCTCTTCCTCTCATCAATTCATTCAGGATCATTTAATGCTGTTAGTGACCACGGGGAAATGGAAACAGAAATGCACACACACTCCATCATGTTTTATTATTACTAAGAGAGTAGCCTAGCTGACACAGTGTGTCTTTCTTCTCTGACTGGTTTGGGATGTGGTGGTGGAGGGGAAGGTAATGTAGTACATTCATGATTTTGCGCTGGGGGGAATTTCCTCCAGGAATTTCCAAATGTCCGATTTGCACATTTGCTCTCAAGGACTTAAAAAAATATATAATTGATGCTTAAAAGAGGGACATTTTTTGGTACATATATTGAGGCAGCAGAGGGTGAAAATGCTTTCTTTCCACTACATTAGTGAACCCCCCTCCACCCCTTCATTCATCTTTCCTCTCTTCCCTGAAGAGCAGTGACATGGATGTGTCAATAGCTACACTGATTTGACTGTGCATTAGTTGGTAAGAGGCTGTGGGTTCAACTCCCTGTAGGCATCACATACAGATTCACATACCAAGAAGGTATGGACTCACTGTACTGTAAGTCACTTTGGATAAAAGCATCTGCTAAGTGGCATATATTATTAGTGTTATATAGTACTTCACACACTGGTTTTCCTGCTAAACGCTGCATCTCAGCCCCATTGCAGATGCAACCACCTCTTGCCTCCTCTCCTCTACATCATCTCTCTACACATTTACAATTTAGTAATTTAGCAGACGCTTTTATCTAGAGCGACTTACAGGAGAAATTAGGGTTAAGTACCTTGCTCAAGGGCACATCGACAGATTAGTCACCTAGTCAGCTTGGGGATTCGAACTTGCTACCTTTTGGTTACTGGCCAAGGGCTCTTAACTGCTAGGCTACCTGCCGCCCTACATGTATCTAATTTCACAAACAAAGTAGAAAATACTACTGTATTGTATAAGAGCATGTGAAGTATATCTATAACTCCAAGCCTCAGGCAAGGCATTGGTTATACATTAACATTTTATTTTAATTTAGTCATTTAGCAGACGCTCTTATTCAGAGCAACTTACAGTAGTGAGTGTATAAGTATTTTGATGCTTTTTCACAACCTACACAGGACTGCTACATGAACAGTCAATGTCGTGAAGGAGAGCTATTCCAATGATTTTACTGCATGCTCAAGGCTAAAGTCATTGTTATCTTTTCTTGAACTGTCAAGTGGGACTAGTTTGCTTGAGTCAATCACAAAAACCAATCCATCATTACCTTTGGCTATTATCAGTTATTATTCTGGGATGTCTATTGAGCTGTAATGTTAAACAAACTGACAATCAATGATGGGTGTTCTTTCGCATCTTTTTGAACTCCATTGTCACCTTTCCGACTGTAACCCTAGCATACTATACTAAAGTATTTTAGCAGAAATCAAACGCTAACCAGACATATTTTTTTTAGAAACAAAATTTTATATAATTTGTGTCCTTTTTTTCCCCTCCTCTCCCCTTGTCTTTCAGCTGCGCCAGCCACCACATGCAGAGATACTTGTATGTTTTAGACAATATGAATTTCCCCCACTCCAGTTGCAGTCGCCACTAACACTGGCTGGTCACCGCGGGCGACGCACTAGGAGAGGAGCTTGTGCACTTTACTTTCTCATTCTCAAGTCCTATGCTTCCAGGTTATAACCAGACTCTAAGACTACCCTGCTTCTTTTTCATTTTTCTATTATCTTTCCCCTTTCCGTCCTTCTGATTGCTGCATGAGCACAGCATCATTTGCATTGCGTCTTTGCATGCTGGAATGATGCCTGGATAGTGTACTCCCTGAATGGATCCAAAATGACAGCCTAATCTCTAGTACACTACCTTTGACAAAGATGCATTCGACACATGCGTGTTCTATGTGAAGTCGTGTCTGTCAATCAGTGGCGGTCGGTGCCGTTTAAGATGAGGGAGGATTATTTCTTTTTTCATGAGCATGGCCTTATTTCTATTACAGCATATTGGATGACTGTCATTCATATTCCATTCACCCAGTTCAATGTAACATCGATAGGTTTAGGCTACTACATGATACTCACATTTTCCCTATACCCATCATGATGTTGCTACAACCTAGCATATGAATGAAAGTTTACAGCGTAGGTGCACAGGTCGAGAGAGACATTTGAGGTGACGTGGACAGACAGTGACACATTCAATACCGCCTTACACACTCTTGCCTGCATCTAGCTGATCTAGGGTGTAACCATTAGTGCAACAGTTGCAAACAAGAGTTTCTATTGGACAAATTCTGGTATGTTTATCACCGTTCCGTTTGCTTCCGTTTAAGAAATGTTTTCCAACAGAATTGGTGGAATGAATACACCCCTGATCACACATAAACACAGTTCACTTTCATAGCAGCCACGTTGTATTCTTTCATGCATCTATGCTCTCTCCTCCTCCTCCTCACCTTTTATCCCTTCGCTTGTGGACTTCAATGCACAACACATCAGCTGTATGTGACCAGGTGAAAAAACCTTTCCAAGCCAAACCATATCATAATTGTTACACACAGCCTACATCATTGTCACCATATTAGCTAAAGTATCGTCTTAGTCAACATAGCTAATAGAACTAACGCGTTAGTTAACCCTCTGCAATGATGCAGTAACATTAGTGTACAGTCAGTAAGCAGTTTAGCACTTACACCGGCTGGCCCCTGTGGCAATAAATTAGTAAAACCTTGACTTGGAGGAGTTCCAATGTTGTGTTGGATAGTCATAGCCAGCTAGCTAACATAGCACCCCACTGTTTGCACAGGGTGTTTGAGTAGGCTAAACTAGCTAGCTGCATTTGCTAGCTAAGTAAGTGAAACTGAAAGTGAAGGCAAATGACAATCTATCCCTCTCTTGCTTAATTTGTTCAAAACTGTTCAACTATTGTCTTTCTCTCTCTTTGAGTCGACTACTCACCACATTTTATGCACTGCAGTGCTAGCTAGCTGTAGCTTATGTTTTCGGTACTAGATTCATCCTCTGATCCTTTGATTGGGTGGACAAAATGTCAGTTCATGCTGCTAGAGCTCTGATAGCTTGGAGGAAGTCCTCCGGAAGTTGTCATAATTACTGTTTAAGTCTATGGAAAGGGGTGAGAACCATGAGCCTCCTAGATTTTGTATTGAAGTCAATGTACCCAGAGGAGGACGGGAGCTAGCTGTCCTCCAGCTACAACATGGTGCTACCCTACAGAGTGCTGTTGAGGCTACTGTAGACCTTCATTGCAAAACAGTGTGTTTTAATCAATTATTTGGTGATGCAAATATATTTAGTATAGTTTTATCTAAAAATGATAATTTTTAATGTTTTACTAGTTTTAGTTTTATGAAATTCACTGAGGAGGATGGTCCTCCCCATCCTCCTCTGAGGAGCCTCCACTGCTGTCAGTGCTGTAGACTAGGGCTGAGTTTTGCAGTCAGTCAGTGTGGCAGAGTCTTTGTGCTGGTGGGGATCACCAGGTGTGCCTCTCAGTCTTATTAATAGCGTGGCTACAAAAGACGCCATAGAATCTTAGTTACCCTACAGACAGACCCAGTCCCAGGCCTCTTAACCAGCACTGGTAATCATATCTCTATACACCTTTCAGTAGCTCAATCACCCCACATAAAGCCAATGATAAATGGACTCCGTGACCTGCATTGGATGAATGATGCTGACATGTGGCGCAGGTGTACATCTCGGCTCAGTAATGCATTTATCTGGCTAGGTTCTTTGTGCAAATATTTGGGAGATTCTCTCCCATTTGGTCTAGCTATATGGTTTATTTTGTGGCCAAGTCTGCTGATGCAAGAGTGAGAGAGAGAGAGAGAGCGATAAAGCAAGTGTGTGTGCGTCTGTACGTGTGTGTGTGTGTAGGTGAGCATGACTGTGGGTGCAAATGTGCACGCTGCTCGCCGGTGGCAATTTGTCTCTCTCTCAGTAGGTCAACCTGACACAGCTTCCATGCGCTGTGTCTAGACTAAACATGAACAATAGAACAGGCTGCCATGCCACTGATGCCAAAACAATAGTATATGGCAGCTAGCGCCCTGCCCAGCCCTGTCAATCAATTAGTAAAAAGTGTGCCCCCTCTGTCCCATCACCTTTATAAAAAAGCTGTGACAGTGGATCTGACTTTTCCCTGACCTTTTTGCCCCCGGACTAAAGGTCCCGAAGCTTCTGCCCATGTGTGGATCACGTTCTAGGCATGTGTTTATTCTCTACTTTACACACACTCTCTGCTTTACTCGTAGAGAACAGGCTACTGTGGCGATGGTGCTTATTTAATAAAGTTAGATCAGAGGTGAATCATTGTCTGCAAGATCACATAATGATAGTATTCTACATAACAGAACCAAATATAGTAGCATAGTATAACGGTACTGTAAGACAAAAAACACCACGTAAATTCTCTCTCGTAGCCAAAACTCAACAGTGTGCACCACTAGGCAAGATACACAGGTAGGCTATGCTATAGTTTAACCCCATCTGCTCTAAAATTCGCTCACTTTACAAGATCATTCAAGTCGTGAAACTGATTGAGTTCAAATGGTTGGTATGCAGATGCTGCATGGACATTTCACCGGTAAAACTTGAAGAATTATCATTCCCGATTGACAGTGAGAAATGTGACGGGAAGGAGACCACAAAAATGTGTCCGTAAAGTAGAGGTAAAGAAACACATGGCCAGAACGTGATCTGCGCATGTGTAGAAACTTTGGGGCCTTTAGTCCAGGAAGAAACAGGTCCGGGAAAAATTGGATCCGCAGCCACTCCCATTATAAAAAACACAGAGGCCACGTAACAAAGGATGTTTGTTCCCCTTCATTTTTTCCCCTTAGGCTTTCAAAGAGAACAAAGCTTCAGAGCATGCCCAGACGTTAAATGAACTGAATGAACATTCCCAGATCTCAGTCAAAGCCAACGTAGTGTGTCTATGCTTTGGAATCAACAAAAACCAAACTGAGCATGCCCGTATCGCATTCATTCTACCAAGTGTCTGTTATATTTTGGAATCAACAAAAACACACAAGCCATATAAAAGCCCCAATTAAATATTATATTTTTTATATGACATACCCAAGTGTGTCTGTTTTAGAATCAACAAAAACACAATACAACATCATGTACAAAAGCACAATACCAGGTAAAGGCTGAATTAAATATGACTTTAATCAGATGTTATTTTAACCATGGTGGGTTATTATAAGAGGATGAATATTTAGTCAGGTCAGCTGCTGCTTAACAGCTACACCGGAAGGAATGTCTCCTTCTATTCCCATACCACACATTTCATTCAGACCAGGCTTAAAGCTATAATCTGCACTTGAAACAAAAAACATTAACAGAGCGTTACCCGCCTCTGTTTTGGTAAAAAGCTGAGGGATGCACCTGGAGAAAGGTAACCACTCTCAAATTCATAGACAGAGCTATGGATGCAAGGACTGACTATCCATGATATAAAAATTATAATTTTAACCATGTTTTGAGGCTGTAGTGTTTGTATACATTTCTGTTTACAAACATTGGAGTAAAACAAGCTTATTTTTTGGGTTCTGATGGGGTACGACAGTTGAACTACGCTCATGAGGCATTTAAGTTATATTCTTCAAGAATCAATGGGTATAATAACAGACGTAGCAACTGCAGATTCTAGCTGTAATAAGTTACTATTGTTCAGAGGGCATATATACACTGAACAAAAATATAAATGCAACATGCAACAATTTCAAAGATTTTACTGCGTTACAGTTCATATAAGGAAATCAATTCATTGGGCCCTAATTTATGGATTTCACATGACTGGGAATCCAGATATGCATCTGTTGGTCACACATACCTTTAAAAAAAAAAGGTAGAGGCATGGATCAGAAAAGCAGTCAGTATTTGGTGTGACCACCATTTGCCTCATGCAGCGTGACACATCTCCTTTGCATAGATTTGATCAGGCTGTTGATTGTGGCCTGTGGAATGTTGTCCCACGCCTCTTCAATGGCTGTGCGAAGTTGCTTGATATTGGCAGGAACTGGAACGTGAGTATGCAGGCCATGGAAGAACTGGGACATTTTCAGCTTCCAGGAATAGTGTACAGACCTTCCGACATGGGGCCGTGCATTATCATGTTGAATCATAAGGTGATGGCGGCCGATGAATGGCACAACAATGGGCCTCAGGATCTCATCACGGTATCTCTGTGCATTCAAATTGCCATCGATAAAATGCAATTGTGTTTGTTGTCCGTAGCTTATGCCTGCTTATGAAGTGCATTTGGACCCCTTGACTTTTATCACATTTTGTTACGTTACAGCCTTATTCTAAAATTGATTAAATCGTTTTTTCCCTCATCAATCTTCACACAATACCCCATAATGACAAAGCAAAAACAGGTTTTTAGAAATTTTAGCAAATGTATTAAAAATAAAAAAACAGACATAGCTTATTTACATAAGTATTCTGACCCTTTGCTATGAGATTCGAAATTGAGCTCAGGTGCATCCTGTTAACATTGATCATCCTTGAGATATTTCTACAACTTGATTGGAGTCCACCTGTGGTAAATTAAATTGATTGGACTATATAAGGTCCCACAGTTGACAGCCATGAGGTCGAAGGAATTGTCCGTAGAGCTCCGAGACAGGATTGTGTCGGCACAGATTTGGGGAAGGGTACCAACACATTTCTGCAGCATTGAAGGTCCCCAAGAACACAGTGGCCTCCATCATTCTTAAATGGAAGAAGTTTGGAACCACCAAGACTCTTTCTAGAGCTGGCCACCAGGCCAAACTGAGCAATCGGGGGAGAAGGGCCTTGGTCAGGGAGGTGACCAATAATCTGATGGTCACTCTGACAGAGCTCCAGAGTTCCTCTGTGGAGATGGGAGAACCTTCCAGAAGGACAACCATCTCTGCAGCACTCCACCAATTAGGCCTTTATGGTAGAGTGGCTAGACGGAAGTCACTCCTCAGTAAAAGGCACTTGACATCCCGCTTGGAGTTTGCCAAAAGGCACCTAAAGGACTCTCAGACCATGAGAATCAAGATTCTCTGGTCTGATGAAACCAAGATTGAACTCTTTGGTCTGAATGCCAAGCGTCACTTCTGGAGGAAACCTGGCCCCTTCCCTACGGTCAAGCATGGTGGTGGCAGCATCATGCTGTGGGTATGTTTTTCAGCGGCAGGGACTGGGAGACTAGTCAGGGTCGAGGGAAAGATGAACGGAGCAAAGTACAGAAAGATCCTTGATGAAAACCTGCTCCAGAGCGCTCAGGACCTCAGAATGGGGTGTGAAGGTTCACCTTCCAACAGGACAACAACCCTAAGCACACAGCCAAGACAATGCAGGAGTGGCTTCGGGACAAGTCTCTGAATGTCCTTGAGTGGCCCAGACAGAGCCCGGACTTGAACCCGATCGAACATTTCTGGAGACACCTGAAAATAGCTGTGCAGCGACGCTCCCCATCCAACCTGACAGAGCTTCAGAGGATCTGCAGAGAAGAATGGGAGAAATACAGGTGTGCCAGGCTTGTAGCGTCATACCCTAGAAGACTCAAGGCTGTAATCGCTGCCAAAGGTGCTATAACAAAGTACTGAGTAAAGGGTCTGAATACCTATGTAAATGTCATATTTCATTATTATTTTAAATATATAGATTTCTAAAAACCTGTTTTTGCCTTGTCATTATATGAGGTATTGTATATAGATTGATGAGGAAATAAAACAATTGAATCCATTTTAGAATAAGGCTGTAAATTAACAAAATGTGGAAAAAGTCAAGGGGTCTCAATACTTTCCGAATGCGCTGTATGTGTGTGTCTGTGTGTGTGCCTGCCCTGCTCCTGTGTGTTATTAGGCGGTGAGCTCCCCTGTGTATTCCCAAACGGCTGTTTACTCGTCTCTGTTTGTTATTAGTGAGCATCAGCAACCATCTGCTCTGCTGTTCCTAGTGGGGATAGAGAGCGAGACTGGGCTAGGCTGTGGGTGCATGCCATTTGGGGGGGACACTCTGTACTGTATAAGGAGCCTAGGCTGAATTGATTTAATGATTTATGTTCTGTGGTCCAGGCTGAGTACTCTGTTGAGATAGAAGAGACCGATTACAGGAATGTTACTGCCTGGGCGGCAGGTAGTTTAGTGGTTGAGACCATTGTGCCAGTAACCGAAAGGTCGCTGGTTCTAATCTCCGAGCCGACTAGGTGAAAAATCTGTCTGTGCCCTTGAGCAAGGCACTTAACTCTAATTGCTCCTGTATGTCGCTCTGGATAAGAGCGTATGCTAAATGACTAAAATGTAAATGTAAAATGTAAAAGATGGTTGTTTGATTCAATAGTGGACTGGGTGCCAATAGTGTACCAGTTGAAACTGGTTACTTAGAAATTACATACAGTAATGACTGTAGCTGTACAGATTTATATATATTATTTTCTACATCATATTTTTCTGCCAAGTGACAAAAAATCTATCATATTGTTCCCCCTTGGTTCATAAAGACGATAGAGAAAGAGGATGTGTCTCCGTCTGTTTGTGTTGGCGTGTGGTCTGTAGCCTGTGTTGTCAAGTGTTGTTGTGTATACTG